TTTCAAATTCAAATTCAGTTTGTGCTAAAAGTTCAAGTGTATTGTCATAGCTCAATAGCTGAAAACAATATGAATCAGAAAGAAAAAGGTACAATTGTAAGCTACAGAGACTAAGCCACAGCATAAGCGAATGTTGCGTTATCTAGGCATTGAAACCCCCAATAACCTCCTTGCGCCCATGCCATACAGCCACTCATGTATCAATAGAGTAGCCTGAAGCGCTACCATATTACCCAATCCAGCTTCTTGAGTACACAAAAGATTGTGTCGGGAACCTAGACGAAATGAAGGGCCCGTACGTCCACAACACTGTGTGTCTTCATTTCCGACATCATTCCATATAGCTGTTGAATACAATTGCCAAGAGAATCACAAAAAAAAATTTATACTTCAACAGTTGTCAAACATGAGATTTCTTGGATAGTGAAGCTTCGATCAAACTATATCGTTTGATGAGTCGTGGTGCATAGTTGAGGGCTGTTTCAGGTTGGGATATTTCCTCGGATGTTTGAAGTGCAGTCTTAAGTAGAACTGCGATGTTTCTTGAAAGGATTAGTCGTGATACACTGTGGTAAGACGTTCATACATTTCGTCCTCACCCGTAGATATTTCCAGGAGACTTATGTGCATATGCGGAGGATTCCCTGAGACTAGGAAGAGATACAGAGAGATATCATCAGTGTACTTTTCCTTTGATTTGTTCATTTGACCCTCAGTGTCTAACAACAGTTGTGAAGGGTATGAACTGAAGGATGAGAGGTTCCAAAAAGCCTACTAAGAAGGAATTGAGGGAGTCACCACTATTGGATCGAAGTTATTAGAGAAGTACTCGCTATCTGACTCATATGCGATATTGCTTTAGCTGCGATAGGTAGTAGCTTCTGTTTATATATCGTCAGATATCTAAAATGAAGGATTCTCTGTTCGTGGAGTAATCTACTGGCTCTGGCTATCGGATCGGATTACTATTTACTGCAGTAAAAGTCATATAATCCAAAACGCGATGTCATGATTGAGGGCCAGCCTTGAAGCTAGTGTCACCACCTTTCACGATTGCTAAGGAGAATTGCTGATTCAAATCTAAGCCCAAACATGACGATTATTATCCTAATCACTGGAGTGATGTTTGGTTAATTCTGAATGGCGGACAATAAATTTCCAAGTGGTGTTGTACGACATGATGAATCTCTCAATTCCCTCTTGACAAATACGCCTGCACAACACACCTAGCTGGCCATTTGAGCCTATTGAATTCGGCAAATATCGTACATTCGTGAAATTTAAGCTGTTGGCCACTTGCTGCGATGGAATTGTTACTGTTTAGCAATCAGGTGTACGCAAACCGTCATCTTATTGTGTACTTTTGTTGACCTACATTGAATATTATCCAACTCTTTCATGAATTTTGAGATCAGTGCAAATCAAGAGCCATGTGAGATGCTTGCTTTGAATAAATAGTGTCGGGATACTCGGGTGGTATTTATATCACAAGCTTTCTATAGCAGTAATAACAATTGGGGGTTAAAATATCTCTGCTCCTTCTCGACACTTCCAGCTAAAGGAAACACATATATACAGCAGTTGTCCCTCTCTCCTGACGCCATTCCTAAACAGGTAACTCATTACTCATCAACATAATTAGTCATCATTTCTAAGATAATACATGAAAGGTCGTTAAGTCATTCGACAAATAGAATTATTAGTGCCCTTATTTGAGCATAAGATACACAAGCTATGCTCTAGCTCGCTCATGTCGAATATCTGGATGGCTATGAGGAGAGTATTCTCATTGTTAGTCGTAGCTATTCATGGGGTCATTATGAGGGATTGGTGCGGGTTATTGGATTGGTACTTGAGCATATCTCAAAGTTAGCAGGTGTGTGAGTGAGTGATGATTTAAGAGTACTACTTGAGTCCTTAAATTTCTGGCACATTGGGCTCCTCTCTCACCCAGGCCAAACCTTGTACACTGGTCCTTACCTCTTTTGTTACTTGAAAGATCATTGATATATTCCCCTTGATAAATAGCCATTAAGCTCAGTATTTACCCGCGGAATTCGGCCACCTTTTCCACGGGACCTTCTACCCAAAAAAACTAAAAATGGTAGCAATGAAAACTGCGTGAGTGGCAAAAAGTCTCGAAAAAAAGGGAAAAAAACCTGCAGCTCTAGCCACATAGGTGCGCCCATCCATCTACATCTCCCGTATCTGTAACGTTAGAGGCCAGCTTAATCCAAACTGCCATCTCCGTATCGGGTACTGGGTACGCTCCGGAAACTCATCGGATGTCTTATTCTCCATGACTAAGAATGGGTGAATTGTGGAGCTTCGACCCCAACATCTGATTTAATCGTGGTAAGCTTCATAATAGTGGTGATAGGGGGATGTGTTGAGATATGATAACGATACAGACGGCGAAAGCGATTAGGAATCCTCGTCGAAGTGAGGACTTTGTTACTCAATCTCGGCTCTCTAGACTCTGCAGTGAGCGCTGGAGGTTCGTAGGGGACACCACTGACAGGTCTTGAGAATAGTCCCCCGGAGGCATGTGACTCGAGCGACAAAATTCACGGTCAACCTCAATCCCAAAACGATGATATGAATCAAGTTCTATAAGTCAGGTCCTGTGTTGCTAGCGTGAATGAAAAATGGGGAATTCATTAGCCGATAGTTAAAGACGTTTTAGCCCTCTGATGGTTGGGAGAGGTCTTCTACAAAACAATGTCGGAGTGAATACTAGTCACTCAATAAGAAATCTCAAAAATCTATTTCCGTGTCTATAATAATAGGCTAATGTACAAAACTAATATCAAGTTTACAGATGATATTTAACGACCTCACCTTTGGTACAGAATTTACCCATGTAATTTCAATACTGAATCGTTTATAATTGAGAAGGAGACACTACAATTGAGTCAGTGAGTAGTTATTGGTGTTTTTTACATAAAATATGTGTAGATTATTCACGCGGTTTGCTAGGATTAAGGTCTAATGTTGGACCATGAGATTTTCCGTGTAGAGTTACATCGAGGTCCTATTCTTATCTTGTCTCGTCATCACTGTAAATATCCTAGTTCCTAGGGCGACGATCAATTCTTTACTCACGGCGAGATTTCCCGACCATGTACGTTACATAAGCGTCCCCTGTTACGTTGCATGTTAAATCATTTAATCTAGTTAGAGCACAGTCTGGCGTGTCAATGTCAATATAGCCAGTGGTGTCGGCCTTGTAATACAATGCAATTTCAGAATGTCATCGTTATCTTGTAATGCTAAGGTATCACGTCATTGTGAGAACTAGATAACGATTCATGGTCGATTGAAACAGCATTAATATTATGTTTGTTTTGCTCTCAAAATTTCATTTTTTTCTAATCTAAGACACGTTCAGCATATGCTGTGACACGTATTCAGAATTGAACCTGGAGACATTCGTATGTTGGGTTTCATAAGTAGGACTCACGCTATACGCTAGTGACATTTCGTAGGATGCGTAGTTCTGGGCCACCGGCATCCGCAGTAGGAAAGGCCCCAAGCGCTATATTACGTCAGCATGTACTGGCTCATGAGACGAGATGTAGTCGGACTAAGCCGGATATAGACAGGCGATCTCTAGCGTTAGCTCGGTCAAATGATCAAGCCATTGAAGCTTTTTGCGGGAATCTAGACTATTGAGAACCTCACTGCGCGATAAGATAATGCAAAAAAATACAGAATTAGTCTCATCTACCAGAGACCGTATAGCTGCCAACGTAAGCACACAGAAAGTGTGCGCTGGTAGAAAATAAGGAGAGCAACATTTCTCATACTTGAGTCAAAAGCAACGAAAACCTTGGATTTCCGAAGAACCAGCATTCGAGTACATCATGTGAGAATCTTTACTTGGATCTTAGAGCATCCTCACCTCTTGGCGGGTGGGCGTTGTGCGGGCCGGGCTGTACTGCAGATGTTTCGGGTGAAGTCTTGGGTGATGCAGAGCAACAGCTAGTGGAAGGTGATTGAGCCAAGTCCATCGCAACTACCCTGACACTCTTCCTCGCTCACACGATAAACATTGATCTATACCGTTACGTTATCTCCACCTCGGGGTAAATGGCAAGGTCAAGAGTAAGCATGATACTGAAGAGCTGCCATGTAGTCCATGACAACACAAGTTGTATCTATTATGTTGGCGCTTCAAAAAGCCCCACTATGTCTGCGAAGCCAATGTGGTTTAGACAATGCAGTGAAGGGCCAAAATGGGTATAAAGTGGACACAAATTATCTGATTGTCTAACAGTCGGTAGGCTCAGTACCACTGACTTTTCTCCATTCGGGGATTAGAGGACGTTGAAAGGCTTGATCATAACCCTGCTGTTCATTAGGGGCGAGATGATTATCAAAGTTTGCTAGATACCTCCTGCAGCTCAGCTCATTTTGAACAAATCACCTTCTCCACTTGAGGTATGATGTAACTATAATGTCGCCTTGAAGGCTGTAAGCAGAAATGTAAACAATTCCATGCCAGAAAGTTGAAAATAGCCAGCCCTTTTCAATCTCTCAAGAGCATGAGTATCGACAAACATCACTTGTCATGGACGACGCTGTCCAAGGTAATTGGAGGGCAGGAGTATTCTTAGGGCCTATACCGCCATATACCGGCACGGTGCCAAGTGATACTTATCACGATGCATGCAGACTCTCCCCCGCACGCGACGGTGACGGCGCGTCAGGATCTGCTTTAGCTCCATAAAAAGTGATTTTATGGGGACTCAAAGTCTGGGCATATTGCGGGGTCGGGGAGTGCTGCAGCAGTTGCCGGCCACTTGCTATTTTGAGATGGTCGTGCTACGGACACGAGACTCATAAATGGCTTGCTATATTTCCTCCCCTCGGCATTGCAGCTTAGCAACACAAGCCCATCTAACTCAGCTTTGGATTTACAGTCACCAAATACTTTTGTTTTTTAATTGATTTTCAAATAATTAATCTCTCAAGTTAGATATCCTAAAAGTCTCATCATGGCAGCTGCAGTTCTTCAGCCCCAAAGGCCGTCATTTGAAATAATGGCCCCTTCTCCTATATCTCCAAAGGCCTCTAGACATGGCCGTAGCAGGCACGGTGGTAGCATTTCCAAAAACAATAAAACGAGGGGAAGGGGTTACAGTGTGATAGACGAGAGAGAGACGCTCATTGCGAAAGCAATTTTGCGTCTATTAAAACGCACGGTCGAGGAAGACGAAGAGCAGGAAAAAGAAAAGGAAGAAGAAGAAGTGGTCGTCCCAGATCTTGATGGTTGGTTCGGCGTTGATGCTATCGTAAGCCCCCTACCCCTCTTAAATTCAATTCTTGTGCTAATAAATAAAAAGCTCGCCCATTCTTCCTTGGCTGCATTTCGTGCCACTCTGCCTGAGTTGAAGGCAATCGCCAGTGCCTCCAAGGCAAGATTTGCCCTGAAACTTAAGCCTCACACTATAACTTCTGAGGCGCAGCCAATAGCCCCCAAAGAAGAGAATGAAATTCCCGAAGAACTCAGAGCTCCTATAAACGAGTTGGTGGTTCCTGAAAAAGAGTATCCGGCCTCTGCCTATCTCATCCGAAGCATTCAAAGCAACAATGTGGCCCAGATCACGCCACTCAGCCTCAAATCCAATGAAATACCGGATCTTATATTTTACGAAACTACTTATGCAAACTACCCACTAATTCTCGCGTCGGGCGGAATCAAGCGCGCGGGTGGGCAGTCGTATCTCTCCTTCAAGACAATAACTCTGTCAAATGGTTCCGATCTACCACCCGTCACGGCTGACATATCAATTTACATTGACTTACGCTCAGCTATGGAATCAAACTCTGAGATTGAGTGGTCTCAAAGTGAGTCGGGCTCAGTGCTAACCAAAGGTGATGATGAGGGCATGGTGAGTAAAGCAATGTGGAAAAACGTCGTGGCACGACGTGCAGACATTGGTATCATCTTCGAGAACGGGGAGGTAAAAAAAGACTTACTCGCAGGTCCACGGGGAAAGGGCTCGAAGCCAAAGAAAAGTGGAAAAACTAGATCCAAAAATATCGAGGAAATGGAATCTTGTAGTGTAGACAAAGAAACACCCAGTATATCAAATAAATAACCAGGCTGTGGATTTCTTTCCGCATTGACCAGCCATGAAGAAAATTCAATAAATATGCGACTTTGTATCAATTATCTTCCGATGTTCGATTAGAATAATCTTCGTCTATTCATAACTAAAAGTGTCTTCGATAAAAGGATAAAAGGATGATAGGAATAGATGTAATTAGAACCTGCCATGAGTCGTCAATAGTTTAAGTCTATAAATAGATTAATATGATAAATTGTGACAAGGCGTGTGCATCCCTGTCGACAGAACAATGTTTTGAGTCTGATTTCATTCTCCTGATTTAGTACTCTATGAGTCCATATAGGTGTCAATAATCTATTATAATATGATGGGACAAAATTTTCTTTTAAAAAATCCCCAGAAATTTCTATTAATTATCTTTGGTGTGTTGTTGAATTTAGAAAGCTTTAAGTCCTATTATGGGTACAGGACCGTTGGAGCTGGACGGGATCCCTGTGTTCTTTTCCAAAGCCCACTTAATCCAATCACGTGAGTCACTACAAAATTGCAGCAGATTATTACAAAACGAAATACAAGAAATCAAAAAACACACCCGAAAGAAAACCGGAAGATTCCTCCACCTTGAGCCCAAGCAATACACTTCTCATACATCCCTTAGCCCGTCACACCTTCCAAATGACAACTTTTCCAATCTCCGCCACGGGGATGTTCTTGGTTAAGGCGATTATCGCCTCCTCTGGACTTTTGGCTGCAGCTTTTGTGCGGGTTGCTTGTGCAAACAACATGTGCTCGGCTCGACGAATCGCTTCCAGCTGCTCTTTCTCCACCGGAAGGTACTTTTTGGGCCTTAGTCGGTAATCCTGTGAGAACGATGGGTGAAGTCCTCGAACTCTTCTTCAGAGTGCATTGTTGAACCGCAAATCAGGCCAGCCGGGGCGCGGGAGTAGTCAAGAGTGGCGCCGAAGCCGAGGCAGCAATAACACTGCTAAAATTTTCGACGAAGACGGTGCTTTACAGCCATTCCAGACTCGTTGAAGAGGCCGATCCCGAGTTGTCCAATTTTGCTTTAAGGAGCTTTATCCGAACAGGTGGCATGATAAAAATGCCAGCGGCTTGATGACAAATTTTTGGGAAAATGCAACGAGCGTGAGAGGGGGGAAAAGGGGAGATTCGACAAATTCGAATTCCAAAAAATTGTGTGTAGTTTGTTGTGCTACTTGAGTCTATGACTATCTTTTATGATTGGTATATGTTATGGGAATGTACATTTGCGCTGGAACAGCTGAGATAGTCTGTGGAGAGATATCTTCATTATTATGCAGAAGTGAAAGTACCATGATAGATGTTATGTTTTTTTTTATATCATTTAATGTGTATTCAGCTATCTAGCTATGACACATAACCAGTGCTGTGTAGACATGTTGGATGACTCTTTTGACGTTAGAGACACTCATACTATGGATTTCATTCGCAAATACCACTATGAGGTATGCTTGCTTACACAAACAGTCGATCCTCCTCCGTTAGTACCCACCAAAGGGACGTTTCGAAATCTTTGGTTATCCAAGCATGCCTTCGTCGTCCATGCATACCAGCGCCGCGAGAAATGTGGTTGTGTTTTGCCGGATTCGAACCAGCGATCTGCTGTCTCGAGTGGGATATGTGTCCAAGCTATCCAGACCTTACTTGGCAGACCGGCCAAGACGATGTACCACCGCACTACCCAGCCATTGCGGTGTTTATAGTGTCGCCTGCACTCTCGCAACCGAAGTCTTGGGACGCACAAAGCTCAATTTGTAATAACTCCTTGCCAAAATTCATTACCTTACACCTGTTGAGATTGTACCCTTCCTTTGCATCATATTGTGAACTTGTCCTGATCCCTCTCACGTCCATCCCAAAGAACTGTCTTCCAGATTTGTGCGCCACGCTTTGCTTCCTCCGTCGGGTATAAATATCGGCGTGGGCGTATATTTGGTGACCGGCTGAGGCCAGAGAAAGTCGACAAGAGGTGTGGTCATTGGAATGAGGATGTACTAGGTCGTACTCGCTGGGAGTGTAAAATTGACGTGGTTAAGTATTTTTAACCGTTGCCTTGTGGGCCAACTTGTTCGGTATTGCGAAGTTTGACTGAACTTGGCTCTGGGAGAAAAGATGTTATGTTAAAGATTAGAGGAAGTTCGTCCCTTATCCCCTAGCTTGTTCGCTTGTAGAACGGTCACGTAACCATTATGCAGTACACCAAGGTGAGCTACCAACCTACCAGCTACGTTATTAGCTCCCCATCAACAACCCAATTCTCATACTGCACACATTACTAGTTGTAATGCCGCTATGTAGAGACTGGATCTCCTTCATATGCCACAATGCCATAATAACTACCTATGCATCAGCTACTTGATCAACCATACTACATAGCTGAGCATAACACTATCTTGCACATTGAACTCTTCTCTGGCCCAGGCCACACCTTATACAGTACTCCTATCCTCTCTTGTTACTTGAAACATCGTTGATACATTGCCCGTGATAAATAGCCATTCAGCTCAATATTTACCCGCGGAATTCGGCCACCTTTACCACCGAATCTTTTACCAAAAAAAATATTGGCAATGAAAACTGCGTGCGCGGGAAAAAGTCCCAAAAAACCTGCAGCCCAAGCCACATAGGTGCGCCTGTCTATCTAAATATCCCGAATATGAACATTCGAGGCCGATTTGATCCAATCCACCATCTCCGTACCGGGTGCTCTGTACGCTCCGGAAACTCATCGGATGGTTTCTTCTCCATTACCAAGGGTGGGTGAGGTGTGGAGCTCCGACCTGAACATCTGGACTGATCGTGGTTAGCTTCATGATAGTGGTGACAGGGGGGTTGTGCTTTGGGATGAAGACGATATAGACGGCGAAAGCGATTGGGGATCCTCGTTGGAGTGAGGACTTTTTTACTCAATCTCGGCTCAACAGTCAGAGCTGGAGGTTCGTAGGGGACACCCCTGACAGATGTTGAGAATGGCCCCCTAATTATCTTTGGTTTTTGTCGGTCGGTAATATACACGTGTGCGCATATACAATGGGTCTCTCGACGATGTGATGATGCTTCTTCTTCTCAGATACAGGCGTGTCTGCCTTTAGGGCGAAACGCCAAGCTGCACCAATCCACGTTCCTAACTATCAACATAATGCGATCTCTCTCCTGACTCATGTACATCCCAAATGTGTCGCGACAGTTTTCCTATTTGTCCTTCTATTTTTTGCCACAGATTTTAGTTGCGTAGGCAGCTGTCTAGCTTTGACACAAGATCAGAGAAAAAACTGAAAAGATTACTCATTTTAAAACTAGAGCACTAATGCCTCGGATTTTATTTGCAGGTGCCACTGCGAGCTTATGACAGCCGTTTCTTCGCCCCAGGTCAACCCTCATCCATGAACAAGCACGCAGGGAAACGTCTCTGAAACCCTGGGCTATCCCGACATGTCTCCATCATCTATTGACAAGTCTCCGCGCGAAATATGGTCTGAGACGTCTCCTTCCCAAGTGGAGTAAGTGCCCCAGGCTACTCGAACTATACCGGAGTTGAGCACTTCAAGGAGAGATTTTGACTCAACTATCACAATAAAAACCAACCCATATTTATTAATTTAATTAGTGTCGCGCCTGCGCACAGCACGCGAGCTTTTCACGTACCGCTTAGCCGAGTCAGAGTAAAACTAGCCGGCGTGCTGGTGCCTGAACACGTCCAACATGGCAACTGAAAGCCTGCATCTTCACATCCCGCGCCGCACGACTAGAATTTACATGAATGTCGGCCTTGCGGCGGCTCTTACTACATGATTCTGTTCCAGTGAGACTTGTCGTTGAGCCCTCTCGAAGAAATTTGTGGCACACACCCAACTATGAAATGTATAAACTCCCTCTGCTAAAGCAAGGACCCAAGATATGTTGAAAGTAAAATTCTGTGCCTGGAACTGCCCGAGGTAGCGATAGAAAAAGTGGTCGGGGGATTTCTCTCCTCCGCATCAGCAGGTTAGGATGATGTTTTCGTGCTTAGAACCTCGGGCATAGTCTGCCAAAATCGCCATGTCCAGACCAAAAACAAAAGTATATAGATGATAGCTAGGCAAGCGTGCGGTCATAAGTCACAGGGTACTGGATCGACAAGAGCAAGCGATAGGCTGCTCACGGCTTGAGATAGGCTAGAGGGTAACGAGCGGCGAATGACACACTGATAGGCATTGAAGTTGAGAAGAGAATTATCAATATTATTACCTGCAAGCTACCCCAAAATTCTCCTGCATGTTCCCGACACTAAACTCTCTAGACTCGAAGCTCATGACTCCAACCTCCATAGACCCAATAGACTATCCTGAAAGACGAACATTGGATTTTTCCATGCCTCCAGCACCACCTCCCCGACTAGCAGGGTCCTCGCATACCACACTGTCTTGGCCTACCCCAGTCAAAGACGGTCCCGAAAAAGGCAATTATTAGACTGATCAAGAACATTAGAACGATCCATTTGACCAAATCTTCAATCGTCTGTGCACTTTCATTCTCTTCCTCAGCATCGTAGGCGGCAGCCTCAGCTTCGCTCTCAATGGCTCTCCATAGCGTTCGCATCTCAAACTCGTGGGGCCGTATAGACTCAGTGAAGGGAGCCGAGGGTGCATCAGCGTCAGGGATGTGAATGAGGTAGGGCTCATCGCTGTACGGCGGGAGCGGAGACGTACAAACTGGGCTGACTGAGCGATTTCGGAGATAGTCATGCATTGGCTCGTAGTCGGGTGGCGGGTTTGCAGTATCTTGAATCGGATCTTTGATCGTGGTCCCGGTTTCTCGAAGAGGAGTATCTCGATAGGGTTGCCACGAGCTCATAGGACGTGATGCATTAACGTCGTCGGCCCGGGGCCCTGATTCGCCTAGTGGTATCGTTTTTGTGATTAATGCTGTCTTGCTTAGACGACGCCCTGAGCTATATCTTGGATTATTTCGCGAGGTTTTGGAGTGGGAAGTAGTTATAGCCATGGTGTATAGATGAGGTAGAAGATGGTTGATGGAGGGTGAAAGTCAATTATGAAAGATTTGCCGGTAGAATACACAGGATACCAGCGATTTAACTTGTTCGGCCTCGAGGACTGAGTTGATACATCGGCTTCGCGCCAACCGAGGGCGAGAGCCTAACGTGTCGCAATGTTGTTCAGGGTGTTTGAAGTCGCGTCGCATTTGCGTTTACACCTGTGTTCCCCCTCGCATCCCCTTTAGAACAATCCTGTAACGGCATCGCGTAAACTCGATGCCGAAGACATGCTGAAGTAATGGCAGGTTAGAGCTAATGTCTTGATTTCCTGGCGTGAATGCTGACCTAACCATGGATTACTGTGGCTCGATGGTTACCAGCAAAGAGTTGCAAACAAAGGCCTTGACTCGCCAGCATGACGTGATAGACTGGTTCAGTGGCCCTTGCCTGATTCTCGCTGTACTAGATAGACAAGCCGGCGCCGTGTCAGGCTGGACCTACGGGTATTTTTAGTCCTCAATAGTCTTAGACTCAATAAGGACTGGAATGTAATTACAAACTAATCTACGGGTTTTTTGTAGGGTGATCTTGACCCCTTGTTCTTAGCTGATCATGCACGTGAAGCTATCACGTGAAGTTGCTCTGCTTATTATCTGGAAGACGAAACGGCGCAGAGAATTAAAAAAAAAAAAAAAAAAAAAGAAACGGCGCAGGGAAAGAGAGCCACCTGCCAGCAGTAGCTGCGACAACGTTCGAGAACATGCGTGATGGCCTCATTATGTACTTTTCTCTGATATTGTGCCCTAGCGAGATAGTTGCGCACGCAATTTAAATCTGATGCAGAAGAAAGAACACGAGTGATGAAACCAACCCAGTGGTACCTGGAAGAGACGACATAAATGAACAATGTAGACAGCAGCTTTGCTGCCTATCAATGGGCATGGGAATCTATCGACATCTCTACCTGTCAGGATTCGACAGAATAGAATTCAAATCCCTACCGAGTCTATGATTACGAAGGACTGCTAAAGCTATCTTGCAAGCTTTAAGTTAAAGAGACGACATATATCCAATCTGTTCCATATCTTCTGACAGACACTGAGGCTCATGCCCTGACAATGAAACAGAAGCCTCTAGCAGGACACCTTTGTACCTTCGCCTTTCACGATATCAATGTAGCGTGTACTGGCTACGGCTTATTTCAATTAATACAAGTTGGCGCTGGCCACTGTGAGCTCGAAGACGAAAGTAAGCACATCTGCATCCTTACCATCACGTTCCCTGGCTGCGTTCCCGCGCAGAGCGACATCTAGAAGAAGCTCTTTCCGTATTGCTCTAAACTACCCATACCCAAAGATACACGGGTCGGGCCGCAGTCATGCAGGTTTCAGTTTGACAAATATTTCCATCGTATGTGATCAGGGTCCAGAGAAAAGTGACCCAGTGAGTCTGATGGAAATCAATTTGTTTCTGCATTTGTTTCGAGAACTGATTTCGCTTGGCCTTTGTTTCATGTGTTCCTTCCCTTTTTCCGTCTTTTGGGGGATCGACGCCTATCGCAATGCGTCGATCCTCATCTTCATGCTCGCTAATGAGTCTTCGGCTGGGATAAATGTGTAGAGCGGCAGCAGCCTGTATTAGAATTGAAGATACTAACAAACGCATCATGAGCGCACTGCCGGCGTAAAGTGCAACGCAAGTCAGCAATGAACATGCATTCAATTTCTTGCATATCCCTGCGAAAATGAGACTCTAGACCACTCGGACGTGTCCCTACCATCCAAATCAAGATACTTTCTTTCCGGCTGAAATTCAGATTCAAGCAGGACTGAATTCGAGGACTTTTGACGAGGGCGCGATTAAACGAAGTCATATTGGGCTGCTCAGGTTAAAAGCTCGACGAGCCAATGGCCTATTTTTGAAACCAAAAAGATCCGTGATTTATCCCTAGCTTAGCTTGGGTTCATATGCAAGAAGCTGTCGTCTCCAAAGATCCCATCTTTACATTGAAGCTATTGTGATAACGAGATTATGAGAAGTCTAAGAACTGTCGCAATGGATGTAACAGTCAGCGTGGGTGGATATAGGATAGCGCTTTAGTTCTAACGTGAAGAAGACGGATATGTATTGTAGATCTGCTACATTGATGACTATTGAAACAAAAGTGGAAAAGGTTATTCATGTGCAGAGGTCTAGCAGCGAGTATTTATACACAAAGACGGTACACAAAATATACAATCGATAGTAATAGCCCCCAACCATTCAGCTATTCAACAAGTATATCATTAGATCCGCCTGCATCATATTATCATATTATCATGTGCGACTGAGAAACTGGTGTTGTCATTGCTGTGTACCGATGGCGTACCATTGACAGAGGATCGCTTGTCTTGTCGGTTACAATTGCTTAATACTAGCCATTCCAAGTTGTGTGATCTATAAGTGGGCCTGATCACAGCAGAAGCACACCGCAGTGCAGACTCGTTACAACGATATGATTCTTTTAGGCTGTTTTCTATCGTTGTAACGTTTCAGTAGGAGGGCAGGACTGAACACCTGTACGCGGTGTCCTCTACGAACCTCCAGCTCTGACTGTAGAGCTGAGATTGAATAACAAAGTCCTCACTCCCATGAGGATCCTCAATCGCTTTCGCCGTCTGTATCGTCTTCATTCCAAAGCACAACCCCCCTGTCACCACTATCATGAAGCTAACTACGATCAGATCAAATGGTAGGGTCGGAGCCCTACTCATCATCCACCCATGGCCATGGAGAAGAAGACATCCGATGAGTTTCCCGAGCGTACCCAGTACCCGATACGGAGATGGTGGATTAGATCAAGACGGCCTTGAATGTTACAAATACGGGACATTTAGATGAACAGGCGCACCTATGTGGCTTGGGCTGTAGGTTTTTTGGGACTTTTTCCCGCGCACGCAGTTTTCATTGCCATTATATTTTTTTGGGTAAAAGGCTCGGTGGTAAAGGTGGCTGAAAACCATGGGTAAACACTGAGCTAAATGGCTATTCATCACGGGCAATATATCAACGATGTTATGAGTAACAGAAGAGGATAGGAGCACTGTGCAAGGTGTGGCCTGGGTCAGAGAGGAGCCCAATGTGCTAGATAGGCATAGACTCAAGCAGTACAATAAAACCAGCCCAATGTGCAGCCTATGTTACTCGGGAAGGTTAAATCAGTTTATCCGGCGTTTACACATGCCGGCAATTAAGGCTGGCCCCGCCCTATCCGTGAAAGGTGCACTATTGAGATCGATCTCGGGCCAACATAATCTTGTCCAGTTTAATGGACAGACGTAGGGCTTCAGGATAAGAGTTTCATGTGCAAACATAAGGCTTTGGAAATCGAAGCAGGTTTGTATCCAATGAATAAATAAAATTAACTATCGACGTACCACCGCTCATGTCTTCCCTATTAGAGCCGTTACAAGAAAGGATTATAGAAGATGACAACTGGCATAACGCAATACATGATCGAATCGTATAACGCTCTGGTCATTAAGACGAGATGATGCTTTCTGGTGCTGTAGATGATATTTAAACTGATCCAACCCGGCTTCAACCGTGTTAAGTTCCGAAAAAGTCTGATAAGTGCCTACTGCTCGGTACATATAATTACCCCACGGATTTGATTTCTTCAACTGGCTGTCTCTAACTGCTGTTTTTACGCTTATGGCTTGTTAAGCCGAAGAATGCAATTTTAAAGGCGAATTGCGCATGTCAGCGAGCTAAATTGTGAGTCTTACATTTGCCTCAGTCACCTCTGGAAGTCGACTTAATTTACTTCTTTCCGTCTCCCAGGAAAGTGCTTGTGCCTTGTCAGAATTCATGGACTAGCTCATTTTCTTATCACGATATTGTCAAAACTTCATGGCAATTGTGCCTTTAATCTTATTTGACCGAGAGTGTTGGAGCCTTCTAGATAAATCGTTGTGTATGTCAAGAGACAAAACCGATATAGTCACTCGGACTGACCACGCATACTTAGAGAGGACCTGCCAGTTTTTGCTTATCGTCTTGGCCTAGCTCAGTTCTAGGCTTGTCAGCGGTGACCTGCCCACTAGGCTCGCTCTTTGTATTTACTGTCGAATCATCTTTTGTTTTCTCTGACGGTTTATCTTTTGGTGAATCATCAGAGCCACTTTTACTAGTGTCGTCTTCTTTAGATTTCTTTTTAGCTTCTTTATCTGTTTTGATTTGGTTCTCGGCTTCTTTCTTGGCAAAAAAGTAGTTAAACACAGCAGCACCTAGGGCAGTAGTACCTACAGTCCCAACAGCAGTGCTACTGCCTTTTAAAACTTTAGAACTATTGAGGCGTCTTCGTCTAAGTGATCTAATTTTTGCGCCATTACGCCTTCGTAGAGGTTTAGCTTTCGCGACTCCTGATGTGACGCTATCTTTGCTCGAGAGGTTATCAGCTTCAGCAATCTCCTTGTCCTCTTTCCGCGAGGTGGGCTCAACACTCGAGCTAGATTCTTCTTTCGATTTACTCTTTTTTGGCCTAGGATTGTCTTCATCTAGACTCTCCTGACTCTTGTTCTTTTTTTTCTCGGCATTTTCCGCGTGCTTCTTTCCCAACTCTACAAATTTTGGGGAAAGGATGCCGCCTAACGCATTACCAAACACCGTTGCCAGGACAGTCGCACCTACGGCTGAGGTGCCCCTGGATTTCAGCTCAGCCATATTTCCTGTACTGTGCTGCTAAATAGTAAGTCAGGTATTATTATCTTTCAGATAGAGACTAAGAGATGGGGGTTTCTTACTATTTTCGCAGTCAAAGGAGACCCAGTGATATCTTCGACTAGACCTATGCCCATAAAGGTGATAATGATGACTCTTTTTATCATTGTAGAGTACATCCTGATGGGATGCGTAGAAATTTTTATAGTTGTAGTATGAGGTGATTCCAAAAGAGTGACAATGAGGTTTGGAGGGAATTGAGCAAGTGGTGTGAGATAATCCAACATTAAATATCATATCGAATGCATGTCTGACTCTCCATCTAGCTACTCGAAGTAAATGTGGTGCCCATGTCATTGAATTTCTGTAACCGCAATTTATAAAATTTCTAGTTGATGGAAAGAGTAGGGATCCTTTGAGACACTAGATTAATTTGTTATTTCAAGGGCTAGGGTGTGACCGTCATTGAATTAGTTGGTATGAGGTTGTTGGAGGCCGTTATATCTTTCTGGGAGTCCATTATTTTCAGACCCGACGTAATGATACGGGATCTAAATATCTGTGACCAAATAGTCAAGTTGAACGTTAGATACCTGAGGAGCGATATTCACACGTAGACAAGAATAACCAATGGATTGATCACATAAATCTATTCCCAGGCTTAAAATCAGTGTTTACAATGACTCAGTCGATTGACATGCCACTTCTTTACACTGGAGAGCTAGTCTATCTGCATCTATTTTTGGGGGAAGCAGCAGACGCAAGGGCGGAACTAAAAGTGTCTGAAGTTCGGCGCCCCTGGCTTGGCCAGAGCAAGAGCGATTTGACGTATCGCTAGCCCGAGAACCTACGTGCAGCAAGTCGCGGCCAAGTATTTCCTCGAGCATCCAGCGAAACATCAGACCTTTGCGCTCTATGGACGCCCAAGTAGTTCAGATGCAACCATTATAATTTATGAGGGCTGGCATCTGTGCGCACATATCGTGCTCTAAGACTTTACTGAGCCTATGATGAGTGTGATATACACGTATGCCAATTATTAATGATTTTCAAATGCGTTGTGGCTTAGTGATTCGAGTACAATAACTTTACATGACAGGTGGTTGAGTGCTAAGAGTGGCCGATTATGACCTTAACCCATGATGCACTAAAACGCATCAATTTGGAGCTCATAGTCTTACATGTCGGTTGTGGCAACGAAAGTAAATCATAAATTGTGTGAGCAAATTCATGTGCAAATAAAATCAGCACTAGCCATATAACACTTTAAAAAAGGCCGACGACGAAAGGTGCCATGTCGGCCCCCTGGTGATGATCTCCGGTATAGTTTGGGCAGCCTGGACACCGACTCTGCTTGAGAAGGAGATGCCTCAGACCACATTTCGTGCGGAGATTACTCAATGTGTAATGGATTCTATATATCACGTGATCCCATGTACTTACTGCTAGATAGCACCACAACAAAACTTCATGCTTCCTACATTTGTAGGGCAGCCCTGATTACTTAGACATCAACGTTATCTAAATACGAATATCCACATGTAGTTTAAGTTCCGCTTTTAATCATATAATTTATATCAATTTAAGAAGAGTCTCACTGATCTGGCGACTATGCGGACCGGGAGCAGTGGGGTCTTTATCGGGTTTTTGTTATGGGAATGCCGGTGCGTCGGGTAGCCCTTTATAGGCCGAGCTAACCGGCATGGGGCTTTAAAGCACTGTGTTGTGCGCAGGCACGATGTTAATATAAATAAATAAAACTTCATGCTTTCGTAGGCGTTGGAACACAAGCCGCATGCGCTGGATCCGCCAGAGGATTTCACTAGAGACTTCCGAAGATACCATCCCCCCACCATGCTCGGCACCCCGTGAGGAAAAGCTGATCGAAATTGGGGCAGTAGGTAGACTCTTGGGATCAAATTCCTTCAAACAGTGGCAGGCTGCTCGACCCATTCTAGACTTATTCGTATTTTCAGATGGAGCTCTCATAGCAGACCGAGCAGGCGCGGGGTACGTCATCTATCGAGGCCTTACGCAGGAGATTGGGCTCTTTACTCCCTCTAGGAAACTCGGCAGAGGTCTAAGATGCTGAAATTGCCGGCGCCACGGAAGGCCTTACTGCAGCACTCCTCAACCCACTGGCTTTCTATGCCTCTAACGTCACCGTTTGCCTTGACAACCACGAGGCTGCCCTCCGTCTTCTCTCTGATGTTCCCACAGTCTCTAGCTCAGCGAAAATCTTTCTCTTTCGCAAGCTTGCAGCAAACTGGAAAATTAGGTCACGTGGCTAAATCACAACGCCTGGGGAAGTGGCCTTCCGATGGTGCCCGGGCCACGCAGGTATTCTGGGAAACGATGCAGCCGACGCGCTTGCCAAAGCCGCACAAGCGGCTCCAGCTCTATACTCGGTATTCTCTTGTTTGCGAGGGCAAAAAGAGAAGTCAAAGCTCAATATGAGGCTTCCGTAACACTCTACTGAGCAGAAAATGCACCCTCTAGATATAAAGAATTAGGAATTGCTCCTAATGCTAAGGTAACTGCCGAGCTCGCCTGTCTAGGGCGACGCACACTAGGATATCTATTGGCTGCACGGTCTGGACATGGCGATTTCGCAGACTACCACCGACGCTTTCAGCACGAAAACGCCATTCTAACCTGCTCATGCGGAGAAGAAAAGTCCCCCAACCACTTTCTCTATTGCCACCTCGGGCAATACCAGGCACAGCTCCACAGAGCACAGTATCCTAGTCCCAGCATATCTTGGGCTCTCGCTTTCGCGGAGGGAGTTCACGCATTTAAAAGCTGGGTGCGTGTCACAAATTTCTTTGGAAAAACACAAGTCTGACCGAAAGGGAATCATGTGATTCAACTAAGTTCCCCCCTCCATATTGTTTATTTAATCTATTCTTCATTCAATACCATCTGAATACATGACAGTCGAAGGGAGACCGGTAACCATGTATAATTTAATCTTCAAGTGCAGGATGATGAGATCCTGGCTTTCATTTGCTTTGTTGGGTTTGTTCAGGCGCCAACACGTCGGGTAGTTTCAGACTGAGCTAACCGGCACGTGAGGAGCTCACGTGCTGTGCGCGGATACGACGTTAAGTATTATAAATAAAACTTCATGCTTCTTCACTACATAATGGATGTTGGAGAATCAACTTTATTGTGATATCTATGTATTTTCTTAATATCATAAATTGCGTCTGTAGCTATCTAGCATATTGGGTTCTTGGATGATCTAGGCCACTTCTTGCACATTGCCACTGTTTGTTTGTTTTCTTTTACTCGTCCGTCGGGGCGCCAAGCTTGACTTAGGTCCCTACTACCCACTAAACTACCTAAAGGCATGGACGCCAGTGCTTACTGCCCTGGTGGCTTCGCCCTTGCTACTTCCTAACTAGGTTTGCAGGGCAATTCTCTAATTACATGATTGCGTGTAGCATAGCACCTGCACTTTTTCAGCCAGTCCCCGAGGCTCTTTACTCATTTGTTGTATAACAACTACTCTCGAGATACTACTAATAGATCCATTCATAAATACAGCACCATCCATCCATAATGCAAGGTTCAGAGTTGGGGACATTGCCACTGTAACGGTTAGTATTTATTTATTTTTTATGTCTACTGGGCACTAGTTACAACTAAAGCCCCATCCCTGAGGGGACATGGTGACTACTAAGTAATACAAAACGTGATATGCAGTGGCAGAGGCCATGAAAATATATTTAGAAACTGCGAGCGCTATGCAGCGGGTACCTCACAAGAATAGTTCATATTTTACGGAGTGGGCAGATTTCTGACAGGAACCTAACCTTCTCCAATATGGTGGTGAAACGTTTAGCTCCTGGGGAGGTGCTTAGAAGAAAATAGAGTGAGCCCATACTTCGTCGATGGCCGGCTGAAGCCAGTCTCTCTCGCACAATGGGGCAAAAAACTAAATGAGTGATTGACTTGTTAGCCCCGCAGGAACAGGTCAGAAGGGCATCAAGATGATGAAACCTTTCGTGATAGGCACGAAAGTCATCGTGTCCAGTGCGGCATGGATTAAATACCCGAGATATCGGCGAGGGAGTCGAAATTCCTCAGGAGGCTTCTTGGGAAATGGCATCCCTAACCCACAATAGGTAGAGGGAGCATGAGATTGCCACCAAGCTGTGGTCAAGTCCCATATTTGCCTTTTAATCTTTGCGCGGACTCCGGCAAGGGATGCGGCAGGGGGGCTGGTTGGCGAGCCGCCTCTCCGGCCAGCTTGTCGGCCAGCTCATTGCCTGGAATACCTATGTGACCGGGAGACCACATAACTTGGACTTTGCCAGGAGATGCGATAGGCAGAATTCTCCTCGTAGGCCAGCTAGACGCGAGATCCCGAAATTCTAGAATTTCCATTTGCGAGGACTTAGATGGCGAATAATTGAGGAGGCATTGTGCTGCCTCTTGATTGTCTAGGATAACGTGGATGTTGGTTGCGAGATAGGTTGAAGGGGCAGCTACAGCAGCCTTAAGCCATGCCAGAGCGCCGATAATTCCGGAGTCATAGACCTCGAAATTGGGGCCAAGGGGCACCCTCACTTGAGCTACAGTGATGTCTTTATGGAGAACGATGACACCTGCCCCAGCAGACCCATTGCTTTGCTTTGAGCCGTCAGAGAAGACAAGTATATCCCATGGTGGAAGTGCGCTGATACGCTCGGAAAATTCTAGGGCGGTAAATTCTGCTCGAGTACGATTAAGCGGAGCTTTAAAGGAGGGAGTTAAGAGCTGAGGGCGGGGGAAGGGCGAAATGAGCTTCAATTTTTCGGTGAGGTGAGATTGTACGCGAGGGTCTTTTAATCTTCTGACCGAAGGATGAAAGACGTCCACGGCAGTTAGCCTAACAGCGGAGTGGAGGCGTATCTCCTCAAGTAGAATATGAGCTGGCTTGAGCCACACCTCTCTCAGAAGTGCAGCAGTAGGAGTAGTTATATATACTGGTAGGATTGCTCTGGCCAGGTTGACTAAAGCTCGAGTGATTATGTCTACTAGGTGTCGAGAAAGACACCTAGCCATCTTAGAGTAGAATTTGTATTTTTTGGGACGCCATTGATGATGACCGGAGGAGAAGGTTGACGAGATCTGTGAAGATGAAGGAATTCGGTCTTGTTTTCTGCCAGAGAGAGTCCATTCTGCTCGCACCAACGGGTGATGCTTCCGACCCTGTTGGTGGTCAGATGAGAAGAATCAGTAAGAGTTTTTGCGACCGAGAGAATTGCTACGTCGTCTACGTATCCAAATGTAGGAAACC